AAAATATGACTCTAGTCCATAGGTATTATCCATCAAATTACTCAGAGAATGAGAACTGGCGCGCACTTATGCATTTGGTGACACTATTATCAGCTTTGTGGAGTTTTGTTTTATTTGAGCTTTCCTGGGGCCGAGGTTACGGGATGACGACATCCCATGGGTCTCCCGAAAATCATATGTAGCTTCTTTCGATGGAACGGCTTTTATCGACAGGGAAAAGTGAAACATATAGAATAAACAGAGAAGTGAAAGGAATGGGAAATGCAATATGAAATAAGCCGCCGCCCAAAACCAATGGAAATCAGAATAGCTTCAAATGCAGAGGGGAAAAAAAAGAAAAAGAAAAAGAAAAAGAAAAAGTAGGAAAAAAGGAGAGCAAAAAGGAGAAAGCCAAACGTGAGATATAGTATGAAGGTGTTCGGTCATGAAGAGTTCATTTCATCAAAAAGCCTGTCCCAAATAGCAAAATGAAATGACGGGACGAAGGTATCCAGGTATCCAAGCATCAATTAAAATGGCAAATAGAGGGTATTAGAAGACAGTGCCGTCAGATAGTATCATGATAGGGGGTTCCTTGGTGTTTGGTCTCGAAACTTCCGCAATCTCGCGGCCACCCTGTTCATTGTTAGAATTGAGCTAGCCGAAAGAATCCTTGATAAGTGCTTACCTTCCAGGTGCCAGCTTCAAGCATTTGTGCTAGTGATAGCTGTTCTTCGGACCCCTTGAGCCCTAACTGAGCGTTGACCTCCTCTAGGAGCTCATCCAGGAATCCGACAGTAGCGGCTCGCCATTCGACAATTACATCGTCGTCGGCGCAGAAGAGCGGTGCCACTTCGACACTTGGCTGACCCTTGATCTGAGCATTCTCTTTATATGCATCGATTCCACGCTGCATATCTTCTGGTTTCAGAGTCAAGAGTCCCAGGTCAATAAGAAGGCCTCCGTTTCGATATTCAGGGAGGCCTGTTAGAAGGTCGCTGCCGGCGAAGTGGATGAGCATCAATTTCGACATTGGAACCATGATCGAGTAGCATAGCCATTGTGTCAGCTTGTGGAATGGGACGATGCTCTCCCATTGCTGTGCAGGAGGAGAATCGGGGAGACCAGAGCACTTCCAAGCATCTCCAATGGATACTCCATCAATCTGGGTTCGTGATGGGGGCCAGATGGGAGAGAAGCCATCCATGAGCACGGTCCACACAGTCGTAATCGGAACAATAGGGACGGAAGAAGCAAGTGTTGATGGATGACCCAGAAGATAATCTGAGTAAAGATTAGTAACCGAGAAAGCGCACGCACACAAAAGAGCCAGGTTTTCTCACCTAGCATATTTCCTGGTCTAGCGTCCACACCGAAGAAGTCTTGATTGTTAAGTGCCTCAGAGAGCCGTATCAACAACCCCGCGCGGCCTTCAATGCCAGTCAGTGGATTTTGTTCAGAATGTTGCATCCCCTTGGCGAGCACCTCGGCCGTAACCTTTTTGAGTCCTGCCCCGTCCACCTGACATGGCTCCGTAGGATCGCTACTGAAAAGACCCGACTTGAACATCTCCAAACTCGCCACAGCCAAGCCTTCACTGCGCGAGAAGACTTTACCAGACTCCTTCGACCGGTATGACCACTTATTTCCAGAACCAGCATCCAGTAGAACGGACACCACAAACAAATCAATCAAACGGCGGGTGCGTTCCTGCGCATCAATGCGACTGGGCCAGGACTGGAGAAGCTGGTTGATGCGGGGTCTACCACCTACGTCGAAATGCTGCCAGCGACCATGCGGAGGGATGTTCTCGTAGTCTGGCGCATAATCTCGCTATTGGGGTAAACATATTAGCGCAAGCTCACATGATCGTAGCAGTCACTTGGATTTACCTTGATGATAGAGACGACGTAGGAGGCGGTGGCTTCGAATTTGCTCATATCGACATCGAAATGGTTCAGTTGGTTATTTTTGGCCTTGTTCAGGATGATGTTGGAGCGTTCGCGCACTGCATGAATGCTCCGTAGGTATGCAGCCGGGTCCAATGCTGGGTCTGCTGGTCTGGCGATAGGGAGTTCTGGAATTGAAGCTGGCGGACCACTTCCCTTGTATCCTGGGGATCTCAGGGATGTGTTTGACGTGCGAGCGCTGTTGACCGATACGAAGGAATCATTTTCATTCTCGCTTTGACTGGAGTTCTTTGAATCTTTGCGCTTGAATATCCCCATTGTTTCGAGTGGGAGCTTCACCCCAGAGCTTGGAAGGGGATTTGGAAGGGGACACCAGTGGAGAGGTTGAAAGGAGGGGTGAGGAGAATAGTTCAGATAAGGAGTTTACAAAGAGGGGGAAGTGACATCTGGATGTGATGTTTTTTTTTTCCTTTTTTTTAAAAAACTAACATCACATAATAAAGACTCTTAAGGGTAAAAGCCAAGTAAAAATAGACAAAATAGTAATAAGTTATGATTTTTTTTATGGGGCTTTGATGACTGGAGCTCTTTAACTCGTCAAACCATTTAGTATAGGCTAGATGCCCAAATATTAATAATTTGAATCTTATTTTATTTAGGGGGAATTGAGTCTGGCACAGTCTGAAAGAAAAAAAAATGAGAGCGAATGCTTGGGAAGTAGGTACAATCCACAACTCGTACTTTAGTATGCAGAATATGCAGGGTGTACCGAATATGCCGAGTTAACTCAACTTCCCCCTAGTGTATATCGTGCATCGATGAAGTACATACCCACGTATAATAGTATAATAATATGTATTGGACTCCGTACTCCGTACTATAATAATTGTACTCTGTAGCATACACAAAGCCTTTGTGGACGGCGTACGGATACTCCGTACACATTCCCGGGAATAAATTGGCACCGATTGCCGTAATAGGTATGGGGATGGGCCCGGAGAAGTGAACCAGTCGGAACGCAAGAGAAGAGCCTATCATTCCACTTTACAAGGGGCGAACGAATCATATCTTGGAAGAATGGATACATAGGAATACAATATCAAATAAATTTTAGTTCCGGGGGGAGGGGCCACCGGATGGTACGTGTATAGATCGTTAGCTTGGATATCGATCAGACCATGCCTTATTAGGGGAAATCCAGTAGGTTTAGAAGAAAAGCGAATACATGCGGAAATGCACGGACTAGCGTACCGTTCAAAAACAAAGGAAAAAAAAAAAAAAAAAAAAAAAGAGGAAAAAGAAACAAGGCACGGCTTGCCCTATACGGAATATCGAACCCACTTCGAATATTCCAATTGTGTGAATGGCGAGCTATCGCGCATCGCGTTAATTCCCATGCGAGTCTGTTAAACAAGCGCATGCTAACGAGACTTGGTGGATTTTCTTCCAATATTAAGGTGTAATTTACAACTGTGTTTTAGCCCTGGAATGGGAATAAATCTGGAATTGTATACATCCACCGAAAACCGGAGAATTGATTCCTTCTGGTCAGCAAGCAAATCAGCTAGAAGAGGAAGGCGCTTCTCACATGTCATATAATATGAACCCCTACAACGTCTCTTAATTCCAGATTCCAAGGTTTCACATTGCAAATCTGCCCCTCCTTTTTGGGAAATAATGGGTGTCTAGAAGAGGTATAGTAATTCCAGGCCTGGTCCTTATTTGTCAAATAGATATGAAGTCTGCATAATACATGTATACATGTAACACAGTTGTGCGAAGGATCACATTAACATCTATGACGTTGAAATCCTTCGACTTTAACAATTCTTTTTTAGGGGCCTCACCTCTGGATCGTTAAGCCTAACCACCTACCCCATTTAAACCGCAATGCACCCAAGGACCTAGCTAACGGGAAGCACGGGCCTGGCCACTGTGCTGGGTCGTTTCAGGTTAACTATGTTTATTTTATCTCATTTTATTTTCTTCCATTTCATTCCATTTCATTTTATTTCATCTTATTTTATTTTTATTTCAATTTGTTACAATTTATCCATATTCTTTTTTTTTTCCTATGAGAATGACATCTAAAGAGGGATCATAAGTTGTACAGAATACTCCGTCTCCGTAACTACATATATCGAGTGACAAAATATGCCTGTGCCGAAGTGACTTTGTATAATTGTCCGAGCCCTGAAAGTCAGGGGTAAGACACGATATGATCCACCGATTTGATTTCCATTCGCTGCCGCGCGGCTCATCTTCCCGAGGGTTCCGCTGTGGTGGAGTTCCGACTCTTTCCTTTGAGGGAACACTTCTCGTCACAGCCTAGTAAATACTCAACGGAGTACAGAATACTTCGCTATAATACATATCATATAAACTAACTATCACCCTCCTGGACTCTTTATTCCATACTCCACGAAGTAGATAGTGTATCAATAGTAAAGAACTCATTTTTGAGATCATATGCGGGGGTTTGCCCAGAAAATGAGTATATAATAATGAATAATGATACAATTTATAATACCCAATCTGACCTCGGGAGCTTTGGAAGGTCTAGATTATTGAATACGAAGTACCTAGGTACATACTCCCGAGGTCCGTCCTCCCCCCGTCCTCCGTACGGAGTAGATAAAATTAACTATAAGGTGTGGACTGATTGGTCTTGCCACCGGCATCCCTAGTAGCTACATGGAGGTATGCTTTTTAGGTGTATTCTTAAGGCACTTTTTGAATGACGCAGTTACAAGTAAACCGCCGTTGCTAATTTAGCTACGCGATTGACATATGCTTGATTAGGCAATCGATCGCTCCGGCAATCAACAGTCATGAAGTTTGTTTACCGTAGGGTAGAGCCCCGGAATAACCTGGATACTCTCACCCATCTCTAATTCTATCCACATCCTGTCTATGTACCTATGTAGGTATTTAAGGGTTCTGTTCTACAAAACCAAAAGCGGAAGCGAGAGGGATCCCATCCCTCTCTCGCCCATGACTCACCTAGTCACCCTTTTTAAGCTCGACCTCAGGATCTCCTGATAATCTGCTGACCCCTCTCAACAACCCTACACGGCCGTCATCTGTCAAAGTAGAGGACCGCTCGCTAGCATGACAGGGAGAGAACATATGACACACGAACGCCACGACCAAGAGTTGGACGATGCTTCTAATTCTGACTCCGGCGAAGGAGATACCGTTCTAGCTCGCGGTTGGCCACGCCATCACCGCAACCGTTCGGCCCTGTGTGGACCTCCCAAAACGGATACCCTGGAGACGAGATCCCGGCAGATATTCGAGGATGGCTTGATGAGACTGGCCAGCATAGTGAGTATTTTTCTTTCTTTTTTCCTTGTATACGAAGCTGAAGCTCAGAAGCTAATTTCATCCATGGCAATAGATGCCTAAGTGATCGGACCTCTACGCAGTCTCACATGATTGGCGGGACTCGATGAACTCGTATGAACTCGTTGAAGCCCTCGACGACCCTGCGTATCTTATCAAGGATGACAGGGGTCATTTCTTTTGGGGCAATCTTACTGTGGACATTAGAGCGATATATGGAAGAAGGAACCCTTCTAGGCAGAATCTGGACCAAGGGCTCGGGCAACAATCCACCAGTCATGCCCTCATCCCTACTAACAACAGTTCCAGCCACTATCCCAGCAGCTGTCAAAGAGTCGCCGAATACCCACAACCCCAGCGGCCTTTACCCAACTTCTCGAATAAAACCACCAGACCAAGTCAAGTGCGCTAAGGTACGATTTGGTAAGAACTTCACTCGACTAGAAGCAAACATTAGGAAGCTCGTGGGAGCTCCGCTTGAATAGGAACAACTTTGGTTTCGAGGATTAAATTTCGGTATTAGAATCGACCCTGACCTTCTTCATCTCGGACAGTAGTAGTCATTCTGACAATGAATTTTGCTCCCGCATTCTACAATGCAGTTTCCCTGAATTACGCACTTGGGTATGTGCGAATTGGAGGCGGAGTTATGGTCTTGAAAGACCCAGATTTACACAGCACTACGCTTTGGGAACCAAGTTTAGAATCTTGGGATGCCTAGGTCGCCGGGTGGAAGCCTCTCCCTCCCAATGCAGATTGTGCAGCAGCCAATGCCAGCGGGGTATGACACGGCAGACTTCATCAAGGGGGCCACCTCTGGCATAGGGTAAAGTGTGGGAGGGGCAGTATGGTCCCTATCCCATTGTAAATGAGGCAGCTGGTTGCCTGCAGCTGTAAAGGATGCAAAGCCTTGTCCGATTCATTCCAAATGACTATCTTCGTTGTGCGGAGCTAAGGGGGGGATTTTCAGCCTCGGAATTCCTATCTCTACGCAAGTATGTACATCAACGAAGTCAAGACCGTTCTAGTTCAGCAATCACTACTTATTGCTACAATGTCCTGTCATTCTATATCAACTTTGGTATGTCAATAGATACAAAGGTAAGTTTGGAGGAATTATGTAGCGTGGATTGTTGCATACAGCGTTGTACCCAAATAGTACGTATCTACATAGTATGGAGTACTCCGTATGTAGATCTGTACTGCTACTCCGTTCTCTTTAAATTTCGCCAAAGACCTATCCTGGAGACCACCGCTATAGATTAGCCACTGACAGATTCTTACGCTTCGTATAGATGGGGTGCATCCGGTAGTCTTCAACCTGCTAAACTTCGTTAGCCTGGGCGCTAATGCATTCAATTTGTGCTTTTTTGAACTTTAAACGATTTAACGTCATGAGTTTGGCGCGTGATGGAACCGCCCCTTTTCGAGGCTCCCAAAGAAGACGAATACGAAGTACGGACTAGCTAGAGAGGGCATAAAACGTACGGAGTATTACGCCTCCAGCTACCCCTTTTAATCTTCCAGAAAAGACAAAATAGTTCTAGACTGAGCCAAATATTGCATTTCCCACCCATGATGTTCCTAATTGGGATATGATGTGCGTTGGCCAAAAGCAGAAATGGAGCCGACCTTGACGCGGCGACAACTAAGGAGGCCGGAAGATCTCTTGGTCCTTTGGTTCCATTATGATTGAACGGCAGTTCGGGTTGAGTTTAGTTTCGACCGGGGTTTCTACAATGGACAAAATAGGTATGGAGTATGTCTACGGAGAAAATATCATAGGCTATGTCACTTCCGATTAGGGCTAGGTACCGACGATCTCTCTCGGCTTTTGAACAGAGTCTTTTGCTTTTTGCCGCTTAGACTGTAAGCGTTTAAACTGTCAACGAGAACCAGTTATGTACAACATAGTTTGTACGGAATATGGTTACGGAGTTTTTGAGTGGCCACTGGCACATTTTCGAACCTCCCAAGTGATGGACTTGTAGGCCGTTATACAGCCACCCAGAAAGGATCGAAAAACTTAGACTGCGGAAATCCTAAAGATTGACGAAGCACTCGCGCTTTCTATAGTGCTTCTCCTGCCTTTTTGCAGGCATAGCCTTGCCGGCAGAGGTAGATAAAACTGAGATTTATCGTCGTTGTAGTGTCTGGATCATTTCCCAGTACTTGCATGATGACCTGCACAAGTTCATAACCGGGGAATTTAGGTAAGGAGTGACATATATATCTCGCATCAGTTTGAGGTGTATTGCCAAGTTGTTTATTTTCCATTCATCGGGTTTGCCGGGTTCGTGGGGGTCAGTTGGCTGAAGCAGCTATGGCGATAACTATGAATACTTCTCAGGTTGGTTTAGCGATTGAGGGTAATTTGAGCGATCATTGAGTTGTTGAGAAATCACGATATAGGGTAAAAAGGCAAAAACAGAGGTCATAAGTGAAGAGACTAGGATCTCTCTCACATCGACGTCATTGCATATCCCTTAGACTAGCTTGGTTCATGTTAGATGCAACTGATTTCTGAGATGTTTCCAACCTCAATCTCAAGAAATTGGATACCCAGATGAGCGAACTGATATTTGCTCAGACAACAATTCAAAAGACATGAAGCTATTCCAAAATGCGAGAGATGAAACTACAGCATCACGTGCCGGCCTCAATGCGGTCTGGATCCCCCACATGTAGGGGACAAGTGTTCTGCATCTGCTTGATAGCATAGCAAACGGTCGTTGAAATTGCTTCGGGCTTCTTTCATATTGTGAGCTGGTGAGATCATGGAAAACCTTCATCCCTCTTCTGGGACCTAATCCTCATTCGAACCCACCAGACGTCACCTCCATCCTTTGCGACAAGCTCACCATGGAGGATCTCAACGGCTTGAGTTGGTCCTCCGACTCCAAAAACACAAGCAAACCACCACCAATGAGCTCTGGGCACTTATACCCAAGTATCCCATCAAGTGGCGGCTCCGGCAGGTCTACCCCGTTATCTGCGACCTCGAACCGCTCAAGCTCGCCATCGAAGCCCGCCACTTCTACAGGAGATAGCTTCGCGAATCTGGTCTCATTCAATTCTTCCGCCGGAAACAAGAACCTTTCTCTCATGGAACAGCAGAAGCGCTTGCAGGAGGAAAAGGCTAAGAAGGAAGCCGATAATCGCAGTCAGTTCGAATCACAATACGGAGGTCAGAACAACCAATTCTGGGACAACTTTGAAGGACGCACGCGGAGCCCCGCATCTGTACCGGTTACTCGATCTGCACCGCCTCCCGCGGACGATGAGGATATCCTGGCCGCCTTCGATGCTGCAGCGCCGGTAGATGCATCGACCCATTTTCCAGTGCCCATCTCCTCGAGATCGTCGCCTCAAATCGACGTGAACAGTCGCCCAGAGCCATCCAATGGGGGGATTAGCATGCAGGATAACACGGGGGGTATGGGCGCCTTTGATGACGATGACCCATTCGGCCTCAATCAATTGAAGCCGAAGTCCGCTCCCACTCCTCAGCCTCAACAAGCCGACGATGATGATTTCCTTGGTTTGTTAGGGAAGCCGGTATCAGATATCCCCCACCAGGAACCGCTTCCCACATCTGCCACACCCTCAGAGCGAGGACGAGGCCAAGATGCATCTCCTATGCCTTCCAACGAGGTCGATCGGGCTATTGCGGAGCTGGTGGACATGGGATTCCCCGCGGATAAATCTCGTCGGGCTTTGAATACCACAGAGTCCGGGACCGACGTACAAGCCGCCGTTGGTTGGCTTCTCACTCAAGCCCATGCCGAATCTCGGCAGAAGACTGAAGGGCATCCTAGCGCAACTCGTTCTGCCGATCGCGCCGAAAGGAGCGATAGTCGTAACCGCGACAGGCCTTCGTGGATGGGGGAAGAAATGGCAGAATCTCGATCACGTCACGACAGAAGGAGTCCAGCATCAGTGGACAAAGACCCTGCGCAGGTCGCCTCTCAATTTGGTAATAACCTGCTGAAATCAGCCGGCTCGCTTTGGAAGACTGGCAGCAAGAAGTTCCAACAAGCTGTAAATGAATTCAACGCCGAGCATGACCCCAGCCAGCCACGTTGGATGAGAAATGGTCCCTCCTCACAAGATGAACCTCCTCTGCAGCCGCAACGTCCAGGTCGTCGTGATCAGCCGACTCAATCCCAAAGAGAGCAGCAGGACTTCACTAATGAAGCGCTTCTTCTTGAGTCTGGAGATGGTCGGCCTCAGAAACCTCCTCGTCGTGAAAGCCACTACCCCGACCCGAGAACCCAACCTCCTCGTAATCAGCAGTCTCCTGGCCCGGTCCAGCCAAGGCAACAACCCAATTTCCTCCAGCGTCCATCCCGACCAAGTTCTCAAGATCCTAAATCTAGACTTTCACGCTTTGCCGCTGAAGAGCAGCAGGCGCAAGCATATGTTAGTCCGGCGAGACGCAAGCGACCCCAGGCGCCACCGCCGCCTTCTGAGCCTAACGTCGACCTCTTTGATTCTCCCGCTCCGTCCACTAGTCATTCAAAGCCTCCCACCCCGGCCCAGACTGCCACGCCTTCGACACGCCCAGCTTCCATACCCGTACGCCCGAAGGCCCCAACACGGTCTATCCCACCTGTATCTCAAGAGGCGCTTCAATCGACACACCGCCACCGTGGAAAGGCCGCAGACTCATACAAAAGAGGCGACTATGCAGAAGCCCACCAGAGCTTTTCTACAGCTCTTGGTATGCTCCCTGACAAGCATCCTATCACCATTATCATCCGCAGCAATCGTGCCATGACAGCCCTGAAGATCGGTGAACCCAAGTCCGCCATTGATGACGCCGACATCATCCTGACATTTATTGGCCCGTCTAAGGGTGAATCAGAGGTGATCGATCTCTGCACCGGCGAAGCGCCCAAGCCTATGAAAGACTTCTTCGGCAAGGCTTTGATGCGCAAAGCCGAAGCCCTAGAGCAACTCGAGCGCTGGGGTGATGCCGCGCAGGCGTGGAAGCTGGCTGTAGAGTCTGGTCACGGTGGTAGCACGAGCATCCAAGGCCGGAACCGCTGCGAGAAAGCGGCTGGTATCAACAAGCCTCAATCTAAACCCGCAGCCCCTGCTAGAAAGAGGCCCTCGCCTCCGCCTAAGAAGGCTTCGGCTATGTCCAATCTCACGGCCACGTCGGCATCTGGGTCGGACTTTGAAGCAGTCAGCCGTCTGCGGCAGGCCAACGAAGCGGCTGAGCGCGCCGACGAAGAGAAGTTTGCTCTTTCTGAGAGTGTCGATGCTAGAATCGCCACCTGGAGGAACGGCAAGCAAGACAATTTGCGTGCGCTGCTGGGTAGCCTGGATTCTGTGCTATGGCCCGAGGCTGGGTGGAAGAAGGTTGGTCTGTCGGAGCTGGTTCTGCCGAATAAGGTTAAGATTCAGTATATGAAGGGGATTTCGAAGGTGCACCCTGATAAGGTATGTTTACTCCCTCTTGTGTGGTATTGGCTGCATTTCATTCGGCCGTCAACTAACGTTCC